TAATAGTTGAAGGGGATTTCATTGTGATAATGCCATACGTGCACTTTGAACAGGTTTTATGCCCATTAAATTTCCTTAACCTCTCTCCTTCATTCCCCCCTTTTTCAAGCAGTGTTTCGTGGGTTTTAATAATAGTATCTTCATATCTAATGTATATTAGGCCTCAACTTGACATCACGTACGCCATCGTAAACTCTGCTTGATCCTAGAGTTTATCTCCAGTAGTGATGGCCCCCAAAGGAAATGTCCTGTTTCTCAGCACCCGTGGTAGAATTTAAGCCCTAGTTTCTTAACTACCTACAGCAGTGGACAACGGACAACCACAATGAAAAAATTTCTCCACTATTTACCAGGTCCTTCTCCTATAGATCCCCTGTAAGCATCAGTGGGCACCTCAGGTTTCTTCTCCTGAATAAACCTGTGCTGGTGTTGAGTCATCTCCTTGTCTATCTCTCTGTGTGTTTTCAGGCAGACAATGTACTTTGATCCCCTTCACCCCATGGTAACCTCTCCTTTACACTATTTTTGATATTCAGTGCTTATGTGATTATGGCTGTATAAATTATTCAGAGATGACCCATAATATGATTTTTCTCCTTGTCTGTATAGCTGTCTGTTTCCTTCTAATTAATAATTTTTTTTTTGGTGGTATTAGGGTTTGAACTCAGGGCCTCATGCTTGCTAGGCAGGTGCTCTACCCTGTGAGGCACTCCACTAACCTTTTTATGTATTGGATATTTTCAAGATAAGGTCTCTAAACTATTTACCCAGACACCTCAGTCCTTCTGATCTCTGCTTCCTGAGTAGTTAGGATTACTGGTGTGAGCCACTGGCGCCCATCTGGATTCAGAATTCAAATAGACTGTTGGGAGGTGTGGAAACTGTGAAAGGTGGGGCCTGGTTGGAGGAAATAGATCACTTGGGATGTGTCTTTGAAGGACATGTCTTGCTTTGGCCCTTTCCCTTCTTCACTGCTTCCTGGCTTCCGTGAGTTGAATTCTCTGCTCTATTCTTTGCCCTACCATGCTCTTCCTGCCATGATGGGGTACCTCTGAAACCAGGAGTTAAAATAAATCCTTCTTCCCTTTGGTTGCTCTCTCAGCTATTTAGTCACATCAATTAAAAAAATGTAACTAATACATAAGGCATCCATTTATCTCATCTCACTGGAGAACTCTCCTGAGCCTTCTGACTTCTCTGTGTACTGGCTACTCTCTCAATTGGTGTAAAACATCAGCCTGATAGTCCTCTTCTCCAGTGTTTTGTAAATTTCCTTTCCTTTTTCTTGTGTTGACATTTCTGTTTTGTGTGTGCTTTTTTCCTTCTTTGCTTACTTCTTGTTTCTGTTGACCATACACTCCAACAGCTTCCTGAGAAAAAACACGTGGGAGAATATGTGAAACATCTTCATTTTTCTCTTAACATTTAATCAGTAGTTTAGTTGAATGTAAACTGCCAAAATGTTAGTTTTCCTCAGATTATTGAAAGTATTTTACCATTGCCTTTAAAAAAAAATTTACTTTGAAAAACATTTGTTTATAGAAGAGCTGTAAAGTAAGCTCAGAATTCTGTATACACTTTGCCTGGCTTCTAATGTTAACATTTTATATAACCACAGTACATTTGCCACCATTAAGAAATTAATATTATTATACTGCTGTTAAATAACTATATTTTATTTCACTGCTGTTGTTTATTTAATGGCTGCTAAATAAATGATTGAATGACTTGAATTATTTCACTGTAGTCAGATGTCATATTTTAGTAACATCCTTCGTTCCAGGACCAGATTCAGGAATTAGGTTGTGTTTTAGCCATCGTGTCCTTTACTCTTCTCCAGTCTGTGATAGTTGCTCAGGAGCTCCCTATTTTTAGTAACTTTTGAGGAGGACTGGTCACAATTTTGTGAAATCTCCTTTCATATGGTTTGTCCAATGTTTTCTTAGGTAAACACTTGGGTTATTGATTTGGGGAGTAATACTGTGGAATGAAAGCATCCTTGTTGCATCACCTTTCTGGGGGTGGGTGATGCCAACAGGTCTACTCGTGATACTAATTTTGGGCCCTTGGTTAAGGTGGTGTCTGCTAAGTTTTTCCACTGTGAAGTTTTTCCTTTTCCATTGAGTTACTAAGTCCAACCCACTTTCACAAGAAGGGAATTTAGCTACTTAAGAGAGGAATATCAAATAATCAATGGACATACATTAAAAGCAACACAATTATTGAGTAATTAAATATTTGGGGGAAGGTATTTTGAGTCTATGCAAATGTCCATTTTCTCTTTAAGGTTAATATTTATCAATGAATCTAACCATTTCTTTTTAATATCTGCTATTGCTGTCAAGAAATCCAAAGCCATCCCAACTTTTGGTTTTTGAATTAGATCCTACCAGGGAGGTTGCAGGTTCTCTTCTTTATCCTATGTTCTGAAATTTCATGAAGCTGTACTTTGGCAAGAGACTGTGTTCATTGCGCTGGACTCTCAGTGGGCCCTTTCTTTCAGAAACTGAGGACCTTCAACTTGGGGAAATGTTTTAAAATTGTTTCCTTAGATGTTTTCTTTTCGTTGTCTTTCCTGGAATTCTTAATATTTATGTATTGGACCTCCAAGACTAGTCCACTAATGTTGAACTGATCCGGAGGTCTAATATTCAAGTGCTTTTCTACATCTTTTTTTTTTGGTGGAACTGGGGTTTGAACTCAAGGCCTTGTGCTTGCTAGGTGGGTGTTCTACTACTTGAGCCGTGCCTCATGTCCTACCCTCTTTTTATCTTTTTCTTCTTCTTTTTGGAATATTTCTCAACTTTGTCATTCAACTCTTCTATTGTTTTATTTCAGCTATTAGTTCTCCAATTTCTAGCATCTCACTTATTATTCCCTGAATATTTAACTTTCTGTTATTTGGTTCTGTTTTTCATTGATCTTTTATTTCTCTAAAAATTTTCTTCTCCTTGTCTTGTGTCTGTTTTTCACATTAGTTACTATTCTCCAGTATTTTATAGTCTTTTTTTTTGATACTGGGGTTTGAACTCAGGACTTTATGCTTGCAAAGCAGACACTCTGCTGCCTGAACAATGCTTCCAGTCCATTTTGCTCTGGTTTTTTTTTTTGAAGATGGGAGCCTCATGAACTATTTGCCCAGACTGGCCTCAAACCATGATCTTCCCAATCTCAGCCTCCCAAGTAGCTAGGCCAGACCATTAACACCTGGCCTGATATTTTGTAATCTTAGTAACCTGCTCATATTATGGTGCATATTGCTGAGATCTTCATTATAGGGTGATTTGGATGAGTTGTTTTTTTGGGGGATGTCTGAGTTATGTCTTCCTGGACAAACCACATTCCCCAGAGAAGGACCCTTTGTTTTCCTGCCTAGATCATGGGGTCCTGGCAGGCATCACTGTGGGAATACATCACAAGAAGATGGCATGAGGGTCTTAATATCCAGCGTTTATGTGCTCACTGAATCTTTCTGTACTCAGTACTCCACCACTGCCCTCATCCTTGCCTCCTCTTATCCAAATCTTGCATTTCACTTCTCCAGAGAATAAACTTCTAGGCCTTTGTCAGATACAGAAGAGGCCATCACAGTAGAGGAGGGGACCTGAGCATCTGCTGCTTGAATGGACTTTCTGTTAATTCTTTTTAGTTTATTGACCCTGTTCCACTTTTATGCTTTAGATTCTGTAGTATAAAACAGGCTGCTTCTCAGCTCACACTATGCTGCCTTATGGTTTACTGCTATTCTACCTCCTTTCTACTCTTCAGCATTTTATTACCCTCCTACATGTTTCCAGTCTCTAAATTCTTGCAGGTTAGCACCTTTTGAGAACCATCCTTTTACTCTCATTTTAATGGTTTTTCATTAAATGAAATTAGATATGTATGTTCAGCCTGCTATTCTGGAATTTGCCCCCTTTCCCATTCGCATTCTTTTTTTCCTTGCTCCATTCATTTCTTTCTCCTTTCTTCTCCTTCTCTCTGAGAAAATTATCAGAGGACCAAATTTTGAACTTGTAGGCCATTATAAGCACTTGGGCTGTAACTTGGGATTCAAAGACTGCAAGTGTAGCCTACAGTGGCCAAGGGAGGACTCAGGAGCATTAGTCACGAGAGCAGGAAAACAAATAAGGGAAAGCATGGACCAAGCAGGTAGCAGCACAGGTCTGCATGAAAGCATTTAGAAGTTGAGAGTTACTATACAAATGTCAGGTGTTATTATTGCTTGGTGGAGACATCCTAGCTCAGGGCAGAGTTGAGTGCAGATGTAAAAACTATGCTAAGTGAAAAAATAGCAAATGGAGTAAAGTACATAGTAATGTCTAAGTTGATTAAAACTCAGTACCCCAAAAATGAGAATAAATTTTGCAAAAACAAATCCAATATCAAAATATCAAGAAATGTATTAAACACATTAAAAAGTCTTCCTGTAGGGAGAATGGTAGTTGCAGTAGCATGCAGGAGAAAAAGAAATTAATAACAAATAACAAGGGAGAGAGGAAAGCTTTAGAATCTGGACAGAACTTGTTTGGGACAATATTTATAACCCTTGGAGGCAAAATAGTTTCTGCTGGGTATTGAGCGGGGGGAGCGGGAGGGGGTGGAGTGGGTGGTAAGGGAGGGGGTGGGGGCAGGGGGGAGAAATGAACCAAGCCTTGTATGCACATATGAATAATAAAAGAAAAATGAAAAAAAAAATTTATAACCCTTGGAACCCTGGTTCCCACCTCTGTGAAATAAAGTAGGTAGTACTTATTTCATTTGCTTGCCACAAGAATTAATGCACGCATCTAGCCTAGACTACTGAATAGTCTCCATAAGTGTTAGGTATTTTCTTTACCCTTCAACTCTTCAACAGTGTAACTGTTGAGACTCTGTGGAGGGAAGCTATTTGCTTTAGGGAAAGTGTGTGCTGGGTTTTATTATTGTGAAGTAGAAACATGGAGTTTGTGCTTCCTTATCATGTGGTTTAATTCTTTTTCTTCCTTCTCTTAATGCAGGGCTTACTACCCAAACGATGGAAGGCAGACATTACCCACTTGAGTTGCCCAGAGCCTACCATGTTTGTTTTCTCATCTCCAGCTATTCTGTCCCCACGTGCAAACTCTTTGCGAGAGATGTGGATACCAAGCTTCCAACAATCTAAAAAAGAAGCCCAGGCACTAAGGTGGCTGGTCGAGAGGAATCAAAATTTTTCATCTCAAGAGTTTTGGGCCCTAGTATTCAAGGACTAATTTCAAAGAAGCACCTGACTGACACAAGCTAGAGCCTTCTTGAGGTTTGTTTTCTAGATTTCCCTAACATTTGAATATAATAGCTATCCTTTACTATCCTTCGGTATAAAAATTAATTGCCATAATTTTCACAATGAGCCCTATCAAATAATAGCTGTGAATTACCCTGAGGAGTTGCCTCTATTTTTTCTACTAAAAAAGCAAATATATTTTATGGACATTGGTCACCTTCAGTTTACATATTTGGACCCGTACCTGCTGCCTTCTGTGGAAATTCATGTAACCTAGAGCAAGTATTTTCCTTGTTGTGATGGAAGCAGAGGGTCTGGCTGTGGATTTTTAATATTCACCTCACCATCAGCAACTTACTGGTACTTGGCAAGCCCAGTGTCTCATTGCTAAACACGAACATGAAATACATTAGAACTTGGCAATGAGAGATTCCATCTGTTGAATATAAGTGAGTAAGAAAAGCTGTGTCAAGATCATCCACTGTTGCTCTTTAAGTCAAAAGGACATAAGCATGTCTACTTTCCCTCTCCACCCTCAGCCCCATCCCTAACCATTTGTATATTCATCACATTCTATAGTGGCCTCCTTTCAAAGTGGAATGCCTTGTAAAGATGTTACTCCTTTTTGAGTAATTTGATCAGTGAGATGTCACCAATTGTTCCTTACACTATGTAGTAGAATAGTAAGAATTATCTGACTCAGGTAGATAGCTGAATTTCCTCAATAAGGCTGGAACCAACTCTTTTTAAATGAGCATGTAATAATTGTTCAAAGTCAGAGGTTTCATTATATATGCCTGCTCATGCATGCATATAAGGTACTTTGATCGTATTTATCCCTCTATTGCTCTTTCTTATTCTCTTCCAATACCCTTTTTCTATTAGCATGTATTAATTGTACAAATGGTGTCATTGTGATATTTCCGTACATGTGTATAATGTACTTTGATCCAATTTACCCCCTCTATTACTTTATCCTGTGCCCCCCCTTTTTCTTTTTTTACAATTTTTAGTAGGTGTCATTATTCTATTTTCATACAGTGTTCTTTGATCTTATTCATCCCCCTTCATTTCCTTTTGCCCTCCTCACCTCACTGTTTTCCTTCCTATACAGTCCCCCTTTTACATTTCTGTCATTATTTTTTTGGGGGGACTGGATTTCATATATGAGAGAAAACATGCAATATTTGTGTCTCTTGAGTCTGGCTTATTTTGCTTAACATGATGATCTCCGGCTCCATTCATTTTCCTCCAGACAGCATGAAATGCTATTCTTTTTTATGGCTGAATAATACTCCCATATGTATATATACCACATTTTCTTTATTCATTGGTTGATGGGCACCTAGGCAGTTCCATAGCTTGGCTATAGTGAATAGTGCTGTGATAGACATGGCTGTGCAGAATCTCTATTGTATGCTGACTTGCATTCCTTCCATTACATGCTCAGAAGTGGCATAGCATATGATAGTTCTTTTGAGTTTTGAGGAAACTCTACTGATTTCCAGAGTGATTGCACTAATTTAAATTCCCACCGACACTGTGTAACCCCTATCCCTATAACCCCCCAATCCCTGCAGCATTTACTGTTGTTTTCTTTTTCTCTCCCCTCCTCTCCTCTCTTTGTTCCTCCCCTCTACTCCCCTCCCCTCCCCTCTCCTCTCTTTTTTTGAAAGTACTGGTGTTTGTGAACACAGGTTATTGTGCTTGCTAGGCCAGTGCTGTACCAATTGAGTCATGCCCCCATTTTTGTTTGTTTTCTTGATTTTGATAAAGGTGAGAGCAGAAGTGACTGCCCCAAGTGCTGCATTGTATCAAAGCTGATTGTCTTCAGGATGATGTGTACCCATGCTGGTAGGCAGCCAAAGACACTTGTTTTGTGAACATTTACTGCTTTCTGATCCTGTTATAGGGAAAGTCCAGCTGTCTTGTCTAGGGTGTCTACTGGAGCTCATGAAAGATAAGCAGAAACAATATTAGCTTTTCTTCCGTGAGATGGTGAGGAGGCTTATAGATGACACTAAAGCCATAATGTGTCATGGCTTCTGTATTATTTATTGTGAAAAGACATAAGGCACAGTCAGTCTCAGAGGACTGAAGAGTCTCTGACATCAGTGGTGTAAAGGAGAAATTAAAGACAGCCCTGTAGCTGCAGTTCCTCCTACCTCTTTTCTTGAGGTGCTGGGGATTGAATCCAGGGCCTTGCACATGGTAGGCTGAGCTGTGTCCCTAGCCCTTCAGCTACCCTTTCATTGCAGGCCAGTGTCCTTGGTGTGCCTGGCAGTGAGCAATGTCTTCTTCACTCTCTCTGGCTATGGCAGCCATGTAAGAAACAAGAGCTAAACCCAGCACATTCTTGATGAACAAGAAGGGTCACCTTGCTGGGTGGTAGAAGGTATCTATGACAGGTTCTTCCCAATTCCAGATCTGTCATTAACTAAATATGATCTTGGACAATCAAGCCTTAACTTCCTTGGCCTTAGTTTTTCCATCTAAAAAGCAGTTATTGGGCTGGTCTGCAAAATTGTCCTCTGTGTAAATCTTTATTTATCAAAATTGAAGAAGTTTAGTTTTGTAACTGTTTTTACTAAACCATAAACTACTAAAGGAGGTTAGAGTAACTGTGTGTTACTCAACAGAAGTTCTGCTTTGAAGGAAGGAACACATTTGTTACATAGTATTGAGAATGGAGAGGACAATATTTCCTTACCATTTTATCTGACAATACAAAAGTAGTAAAGGTTAGAAAGATGGATTGTTTATTTAAGATCAGGCTTTAAACTGTACATTAAGTGAAGTGGGATTCTTTTTGAACCCTCAAAAGCAAGCCTGGACAATGTTTAGTGCCTTGGCAAGATATAATAGTAGCTTAAGTTTATATAATGGCCTTAAACAAATCTCCAGTACTTATATGTGCATATATGTCTTAAACTTCAGTACTTCATGAAATGTTGTTCTGTTTTAGTTCTTTTTCAAGAATTAATAGGTTAAAAATTGTCCTAGACTTTTCTAAAGTTTCTGTCCAAATTTAATGAAATATAATCATTGATTGTTTAATGAAACATAAAAATTTTATGGAGGAGGGAGAATTCCATGGGGTTGAAGGTAGAGGATATTTCAAAGAAAATAAATGAGGGGTTCACTGGGCCTCTGGGTACCACAGATTGGAGACTTATTATTTTTTATTTAGTTTATGCTGCTTCTGTCACTGGGTGTTTAATATGATGATGCCTTTTTGTCTCTGACAATTGTGGAATGAAGTAGGCCTGCATAGTAGCAGGATTCTTATCTACAAATGAGAATTATGCTTTCTGAATGCCTTAGTACATTTTGCCTGTGTCAATCCCATCATGCCATACCTTTCTCTTTACCTCACGATCTCCATTTGTGAAATATGGTTAAGGCGTGGACGTGAACTGCTTCACAGGACTTGTGAGGAATGACTATGACTGTGAACAACTTTGTACAGTACCACATTTTGTTTAGTGCCTCAGTGAATTTCACTTGGATTGTTTGCAAGGACAGATTCTCAAAGTGATGTGACAAGGTGTACCGAATTCCTTCAGAAAAGTGGAAGGAAATGATTACTAATGCTTGTCAGTAATTTTCACTTCTTCACCTGAAAATGGAGGCAACTTTGACTTTCAATTATGTAACAAATATAACATTGCAGAACCTGAATACTGATTGGCTTATTTGTTGCTGTTAAGAACAAACTAGTTTTTGAATACTGGTTGTTGTCTTTATCATTGTAAGCAATGACTTGGATATGTATTATGTGCTACTCATTGCTCAAAAAATAAAAGATGCAAACAAAAATGAGTGTCCTTCTTTTAGTCACACATCACACATTGTATATTACACATAGGAGGATCAGCTCAGTATCTATAGTACACTGTATAAATCTAAGCACAGGACAGACCTGAACTTGGAATGCCTGATGTAATATTGGGTATTTGAAAGAGTCACAGGTAAAGTATAATTCTTGCTAAAGATGACAGTTGACTAGAATTCCATGAACTGGGTTGCTTACAAGCAATAGAAACTTATTTCTCACAATTCAGGAAGCTGGGAAGTCCAAGACCAAGGTGTTAGCAGATTCGGTGTGTACTGAAGGCCAACATTTTGTTTCGTGTATGACCATCTTGCTGCATCTTTACCTGGTGGAAGGGATGAAGAAGTTCTCTTGGGTCTCTTATAAGGGCACCAATCCCATTCATGATGGCTCTACCTTCATGACCTACTCACTCTTCAAAGGCTTCACCTCCTAAAGCCATCATCTTGGGGTTAGGATTTCATCATAGGATTTTAGGGGACACAAATACTCAGTCCCCGACCCCTCCAATTTTTTGGCCTTGTAACATGCAAAAATCCTTAATGTCCTCAAACAGCCTCAAAAGTTTTATCTCATTTCTGCATCAACTCAAAAGTCTAAGACCCAAACTCTCGTGTAAATATCATCTAAATCAGATATGAGTAAGACTCAGATGTGTTTCATCCTGAGGAAAATTGTTCTCAGGCTGCAAAGCTAACTAAGTTATGAGCATTCAAGCTATAATGATGACAGGCATAGGATGGACATTCCCAATCCGAAAGGTAGAAATGGGAAAGAAAAAAATGCCTTAGGTAAGTCCCAAACCTAGTGGGGAAAATTCCATTAGAACCTGAGCCTTGAGAATAATCCTGTTTGACTTTCAGTGCTCTCCCAGGCCCACTGGGATAGAAAGCACCCCCTCACCCATGGCTTGGTGAGGCAGTCCCCAGCGACTCTCTATGCATCCCTGTGTCCAGGTAGCTCTGGTCTTGAAACCTAGGTGCAGGGGGCAATATCTCCAGCCCTGTGCCCTCTGTGTGCCAGTGGAGACTGCACTTCATGCATGCCATACAAGATTGTTGCCTGCTCCCTCTGGGGCCTGCAATGCTCCCAAGACCACTGGAGCTGCATTTGAGGAGTGTGTGCTGAGTGCAGGGAGAGAAGCCTGCAATGTGAGGTAATGCCAGAGCAGCAAGGGCCTTAGTTTGATATGTGCCAGTGGTCCCTTTGACGCTTCTCTGCTCCTCCCACTCATTCTTGTGCTCTGGATCTGGGATGGGAATAGCAACTTTGATGATGTCTTAGTCACTTTTGGGGTCATTATTTTGGAGAACAGTTCCTGGCTTCTCTTTGCGATGGCTGATCCATTATTTGGGCACACCTTTGGTGTGCCTCTCTTTTTTTTCTATAGATAGACTGAGAACTTTCTAGATTTTTAAGGGTTCTTTTGCTTGGAAATTCTGTCTCTAAGTCATTTCTTTCTTACATTTTATTATAAGTGGTCAGGAGGAGCCAGGCTGCACCTTCAAACCTTTGCTTAGAAATAGCTTCAGCTAAGTATCCAATTTCATCACTCACAAGTTCTTTCAAAAAAAACCCAGAGCACAAACATTATTCAGCCAAGTGCTTTGTTACTTTATAATAAGTATTACCTCTTTCCACTTTCCAATGACATGTTCTTGTTGACACGTGAGACTTCATCAGAATGACTTTACTGTCCATATTCTAACAGTGTTCTGTTCAGAGTAACTGAGATTAGCCGCAAAAAAAAAAATTGAAACTTCCTGTACAACTCTTCTCTTTCCCCCAACCCCAGGCTCTCACCAGAATCACCCTTAACCATACATGACAATGTAGGCTTTCTCTGGCATGTGCTTCAGAATTCTTCCAGTCTCGACATCTTACCCAGTTCCAAAACCACTTGCACATTTTTAGTTATTTGTGTAGCAGTACTCCTGATACCAGTTTCTGTCATAGGCCATCCGAGTTGCTGTAACAGAGTGTCAGAGACTTGATGAAGTTATGGAGGCTGGGAAGTACAAGATCAAGGGTGCTGGCAGGTTTGG